AAACATACCAAGGGAACATGAATCAAATATGCACTTTTATTCATTTACAATAAACTCATAAAGTACATCATTCTGATTGAAGCTAAGGGCATACAAAAACTGTCTAACAGTTAGGGCCTTGACCTGATCCCAGTCCAAAGAACCTCTGAACTCTAGACGAGAAGGGTCAGTTTCGGCCACCACCCTAGCGGCACTCTCAACCCTCCTCTCGGTGACGAGATCCGGGTCTTGCTCCTCCTCGACCTGGGGGGACCCCTCGACCTCCCTCAACGTCACAGAGGTAGCGCTCTCACAGGAAGGGTCATGGCCTCGGCGGATGCATTCGACTCCCCTAGAGACTACCCTAGCCCGGAGCACATCCACCTCGCGACGTGGGAGCATGAAGACGGAGGGACTTTGGGGGTAAAGGGGAGAAGGGGTTCGAGTAGAGCTCCCTTCTGATATGTTTGGAAGTTCATATCACTCAGGTTCGGAATCCGAGAAAGACATTGTTGATTACCTAGAAAGGAGGTGGAAGGAAAAAGGAACAAAGACAAATTGTTGAAAACTGGAAGATCTGGGAGCTAAGTTCACTCAAAGAACAAAGACGCTTGGAGGCAAAATGACAAGAATTCCGCCATCGAAGCCGCTATTTAAAGAAGAGTGAACGGCCCAGATCTCTCAAGATCCAATGGCTGATAAGCCACTGCCTCCACGGTCCAATCACAACACACCGTGTGATGGTCCCCCTCAGAAGACAAAATGATGCACTGACAACCTCCGCACCTGCGATCCAGCGGCGTCACACCCCCGAGCGCTCACCCTTGAAAGACGGAATGATGCTCAAGACGGACCAGCGAAGTCCACCCAAAGCAACCCGCCGGCCTGAGCGACCTGCTCTCACGAATGAGTATATCGGTTCGACTAGAGAGCCGTCTCGCGCACAAATCCTAGGGCCCCTTCGGCCCCCCTCCCCCGGCTTCACGGATCCTCAGCCTAAACAGCCTTCAACTCCCTCTAGTCCTTGGCGCGACTCGTGAAGATGAACCAGGCAAAGACACAGGAAAGGACACCACTACAAGGAACACCTCGATTGTCGGGCCCACTGGCGCTCACCATTACTACTCCCTTCGATCAAAGCCGAATTTTTCTCGTCGGTCTCGAGAGTGGGGGGCAAATGATGTGGGGTGACCCAACCCTGCCCATTTGAGGCTGGGAGGCCCAACCCACGAGCACCAGAGTAGGGAACGAGATCCGCTACAACAGGGGTTGCCCTGCCCCCTTCGTACGGAACCAACCACAACGCTATCACATGGTCCTGCCAAAACCGTTGACAGCTCCCGTATGGCTCCCATCTTAGGTGTCCATCTCCACCTACCTCCAGGCAGGTCAAGTATAAATAGGGGTGCCCCCCTCCAAGTAAAGGGGTTACAATCTGAACCATATAACTATTGCCTTAATTGCTCTAGCCTAGAGCTAGCCACCAGGATCCTCTCTCTCTCTCTCTCTCTCTCTCTCTCTCTCTTCATACCCTGTACTAACTTGATCGTCGGAGACTCTGGATCGGGTTCTCACCTGGGTTCATCTGACGAGCTCCTGTCTTCCAATAGAGATCGGATATCTACCTCCGGCTTCTATTGTACTCGGAGACCACCCCGCCTCGGTTAACACACCTCAACCTCGGCAGCATCCCCTTCGAGCCCTCAAAGCCTTCGGCATGCCTTCAGAGCTCAGAAGGGGATGAATAGTTTGATCACGGGGTGGTCAAATACAAAACCATATTGATCACGGGGTCACGGGATGAATAGTTTGATCATTCGGCTATTGTTCAACTTGCTCAAATAAAGAAAAAAAGGGTTAGGTACTCTACAACCCAATACAGAATTCTGAATGACAACCCATAGTCTACTAATAGAACCCTCCCCCCCCTCCCTTATAAACTGCATCCTGCTCATGAATTTGGCATCAATTCACGATCAGGATTCATCCTCCTGTACGGTGGGGCTACAAAATTCTGACATGAACTGATCAGTCATTCTCCCTATAAATGTTAAAAACATATTGCAAATTATCTTTATTCTTTTAACACATGTATTTGAGATCGATTTGACTAGGTCAATATTTCCAAGAACTGGACAGCCTAAAAACCACTTTGACCGCCAGTTCCTGGATCTGATGGTCCAGTACAAGTCTGAAAATACTGGATCATCCTTCACTTGCTTGGGTATAAAGCCCACAGCTTAGAAAGCTTCCTCAGGTCAATTGCTCTAAGGATGGAATTGGATAAGCAGTACTCACATGCCATGCAAATATACCCTTGTTATACAATATTAGGATAAGAGCCTTCGGGTAATGCCACCTAGAAATAGGCCGGTTTGCCACAGATAAATTAGTCCATCAAATTTTGATTTAATTGGATGATCCTGCTGTTACAACTAAATGAAAACACTCCCTTCCAGATGAGAGCGACCCACTTCAGTAACCCAAGAAAACTGCAATGTGTCTGTCCTTCATTTTCTTGTTGCTTCAATTGTAGCCATTGAGGGATAGGGTTACTCGTATAAGAACACCCTCTTCCAGTCACCACTCTTTTTATAATAAAAGCCCAAATGAATGCTTTCATCAGTCTTAAGGCCAAGCAGTACCGCTCAAGCAATATAGACTATTGGCTAGATTGCTTCAATACATGGTTTTCAAACCACCATTGACCTGGATGGTTGGACCATTTGGCCCGAGAACCATCCATGCAAACAGTTCCATTTTATTCCAAACCGAGCCTTTGACGAAAAACCGTGAAATCGGTCAACCCGTTGACCCAGGCAATCAAACCATTGACTCATTCAACTGGTTTTTGGCTTTTTTTATTCTAATTTTTTTTTTTGCCAAAACAGGCCATCTATTCAAACCAAACGATCAAACCGTTAACCTGAAAACCAGTGGCCAGAACGGTTCTGGTTCTGGGTCGTTTTCTAAAACATTGCTTCAATAGATCATTTTGTGCTCAAACCCCAATAAACTGAAAAGGATACAGGAGTGGCAAAAAAAGTTATGACAAGCTTAATTAAAAGAATTATATTAAATTATTAATTATACGAACGTATTTAAAGAATTATATTACAAAATACAACTTACATGATATCATCAGGATATATTAGTGTCACTGACAAGTAGGAAGGGTATTCGGAACTGCCTTCTCTGCTTCTATCCTAATGCACAAAAGGTTCATTTTGATTTCCCTACAGAGCCTTCCTTCAACAAGACGAACAGGCAACCACCGTTTTGGAACCACATCAACAACATATGAAAGGGTTGTACAAATCTTTTTCTCTGCAAAGGAGTCAATCCCTTCACATCTTTCATTATTGGTCTGTACCAAAATAATGGAATAATCATTAGTTAAATAGATAGCATAAACCAAAACCCTCTATCTTCTCTTCCCATTCAGAGGAAGGCATTTTTTGGTTGTAGAGAGACTAAATAATGCAATGCAGGAGAACAGGCATACGACCATTGTGCAGGTGGAATTTATGTTGTGATTACGCATGTGTTCTTGCCCCACAGTCTCACCCAAGTGCTTTTGAAGTTTTGATGCAGGAGCAAAGAGTCCAGAACCGGAATTTTTCTGAAAATTATATGTATTTTTTATATTTGTAGACAAGAGCATTTTGGTCATTTGTGTTTAAATTTTCAGTGCATGTTGTGATTATATGTATTTTGATTTGCGTAGTCATATTTAAGTTGTATTTAAATTTTCAGTGTCATTGGCCAAGTAGTTTTTATTTAGTTTTCTTACCATAGTAGCAATTCCTGCAATTTTATGTTTTTCCTAGTTCAAGGACTGGCTACCCTTATCTATGCTATATTCTAAAATGCAGTTGTCCACGTCAGACTCCTCATATTGCTTTCCTACCCTTTTAGAACTTTGTGGCTTTTTTGAATTTTTAACATAAAAAACTAAATATGGCATACGGAGCTATTTAAGCTCAGTCACAACCAGTTCAGTTAAGAAACTGAATGTAACATGGGCATCTTTTCAACACCAGCCTGTGCATCACACGGGTCTCTTCTAGTAGTGTCTATATATGTGTGTAAAGTGCAAAAATACAGAGTGGAAAGGAGTAAAGAAGCCATCATTGAAGCAGTGAACATTAGAGTGGTCCAGTGGGCAAAATTTCTGGAGGTGTTTGATGATATACATACAGGTCTGATGCCACCAATTGGAAAGAAGTTGCACTTTCAGCACCAGTCAGGATGAGAGCCAGTAAACTCGGGAAATTTGCTAATGAAAAAAGAGAGTTTGACTGGGTAACTCGACAAATAGAGATTCAGTTTCATTGGGTGAAGAAATCTGCAAATTCCTTTGCAGATACTCTTGGGAAGGGAACATTTGTTTTGGACAGTGCTGTAACTGTTTTTTCAACTTTCTTGGGGAGGGTTTAGAGTTTTTATCTCTCCCCTTTGTTTCCTTTGTAATCCATGTTTCTCTCTTTAATAAAATATTCTATTATTGATAAACACAGATATGATGGAGGAATAAAGTTTCTTTTAAATCATACAGCTTATGATAAGTGTAATTAGTGATTCTTATGCCATAGAGTGAAAGCCATTAAAGCTATCAACAACCATAAGCATTTCAATGAAGTGACATTTGTTCAACATTCTCAAAGGACTGGAAATGATCTAGGCAAGTTTTCTTGTAAATTTCATTGAAACTCAAAATTATCCCATGCTGCTGGCCAGTTTCATCCTTTTCTGCCAAATCATCTCTGACTCCTCCCATATTTTGGCACCCCCATATATCCTCACATCCTTTTATCCCTTTAATTATCATCTCAAAATTTTACCTTACCTTTTTCAAAAAAAAAAATATCATCTCAAAATTCAACCTAAAACCTTAGATCCTCTAGCTTCCTCCAAAGTTGAAATTTTCATCCTTCTGTGTGAAACATACTCTAAACTTGGCCGATCGTTGCCCTCTACAACTATCCATTCTAATCTTACCTATAAAATTTCACTAAAAAAATCCTATCATAGACCTACTTTTCTATTTCAAAGTTTTTCACCATCTTGGGATAAATTTACAATTTTTGCAATCAAATCCCTATACCTCTTCTACCCTAATCAACCTTTGATTTTGGTCCTAACTCACCCCTTAACCCATCCTAACCCTCCTAACCTAATCTTTTCTTCATTCAAGCCTTATATCAACTGGTACCATAGAGCTTTCCTTCAATTATTAAAATAGGTTCCTGTTCAGCAATTCTCATGATTGTTTTCAAAACACAACAAAGTAATTGCAGGAGGACACCTAGGGAATTTTCACAAATATGGGGGAAGCAATTTGTAAATGAAGGTGAGGACGTGTACAAGCCAAGATCCACCATTCAGTGGGTCTCACCCAGGAGATATCCTCAGCTACAAAAAAACATGGATCAATTTGTCTATATCTTATGCAGCTATCGTCATGTAAAAGACATGAAAAAGCAAAACTAATAATCTTCATTTCTTCTATACGTCCACTAAAAGAGATCCTTGTTTTCTGAATGCATTACAGTTAGTCTAAAAAATTAATTCAATTCCTCAAATGATCTTGCATATAGTAGGACATATTAGGAGAAACAACACAGCTTTTTGGCATCCCATTGTTCTGGAGTCTCAGGTTTCCTCCATGATTCCAGCAAATAAATAATTTCTAGTTTTTATTTTTGTTTCTTTTGAGGTCAGAAGTTTTACAGGTTTTCATGTTGCCAATGAAAAAAGAACTTCCAAAGTTACTTAAAAACAAAAAAGAAAAAAAAAAAAAGAACCCCATCTCATTAACAAGCTTTCTTAAGCAGCCATCGTCATCCATTTAAACATTATCAGAGGAAGATTTTGAATACACATGTACATAATCAACGATTTACTTGGAAGCCTATGCTCTTCATCATGTTTCCTAAGTTACTAAGATAGTCCCACATTGTTGAACTGCGTGCATTTGAATTTTCTTTTCTGGAAGGCAATGGGTAGGGGCAAGGTTCAAAGTATCAATACGTATCGGCCGATATGTATCATGCTGGTGGCCGGGACTTAAACCGACCCCTCTGAACCGGTTTTGAAAAATAAATAAATAAAACATAAAAGAAAGGACCGATACAGGCCGATGAACCTTGGGTAGGGGTAAAATTGAGAGAGAGAGACAGAATACCCAACTTTAGAGTCTGCTAATTCTTTTTAGGCCTATTTGCTAACCGGAGTTCTTTTTGGTTAAGCATCAGAAGAATTTATTAAGCATAAACTGAAAACCTAACTGCTCAAGAAAGCAGCAGGCCCAGAATTACAACAGCTTCTTCCACATAAGCCAATGAAAAACGAAGAAAAAAAGGAGCTCTAACAAATTACAGATTACAGCTTGGGCAGCCCCAATCAAAACCATCTCTCCCTACCCCATTTCTTGCCAACAATTCAACCAACATGTCCGCACTTCTAGGGACCCAGTTGAATGGGAGTGTGCCGATCTTATCATATGTCTGAACTGCAGACTGTTTGACAATCCCTCTCCACTTCTACATTTGTTAATCCATGCTGCATTATCAATTTTAGATCATGAACTAATGCCATCATTTCTGCCCTTAATGAATTGCCAAATCCAACTGGACCCAAAAAACTGAGGATTATATTTCAACCAGAATCTCTAACCACTCCCCCCACTCCAGATTCCCTAGGGCCCCCAAGGCAGCACCCATCAAAATTAAATTTAAACCTCCTATCCCCTCCCCCCGGTAGGGGGCACCCATTCTCTTAAGAAGATAATGTGCTTATCCAATTTGGATCAAGTCCTGATCCAAATCTGATTTAGAACAGCTCATAAAAGGATTAGGAGAGCACTCTATATAAGGGGGTAAGAGGGAAGGGGCGAACCATCCTTTTCTCTACACTCTCTTTCTCTTCTCCCTTTGCACCCAAAAACCCTAGTACGAACCAGCTGTAGTGGGGGCTGATTTTCATCAGTCCTCTATTGTGTTTTTGAAGAAAAACAGCAGAGGATACCAGGTTCATATAGCTGCATCGGTCCAAGCAAGTTGGGGTTTGGTTTCGTTGAAACAGTGTTGCTGAATTGGCTTCGCACATACAACTGTACCATCTTCAGTTGGAGGCTGATTTGGGTCTGATATTGGGCGTAAACCACCACTCTGAGAGTTGCATACTACGGACTCCATATCAGGTATGATCAGTTTTAAATTCAGGTTTCAAATCTTGTCCGAATTCAGTGCAAAATCAACCCAGAAATTCAGATTTCAAAATACCATAAAACCTGTTCTCAGGTTGGGCTGGAATTTTCTTTTAAATTTCGATCATCAACTGTAACAATTTCGACCATGTTTAATCAAATTTCCAGCCCCTCCAAAAGTAGCATCTTCTAAGAGTGGATCATCATCCTTACTCAACTTCAGATTAATTTCCCAGGGTGTATCAACTGTTTCTGTGTCGATAAGATAAGCAAGCTTGACCAAGTCAATGGTATTCTGTTGATTAAGAAAGTAACCACTGGAATTGTGAAGAGCTTCCAAGCCCAGAAAATATGTCACTGGTCCTAGATCCTTCATTTTGAAGGATTAACTAAGAAGATAATTTCAACTGATGTATACCATCTTGGTCATTTCCAGTGATGAGAATATCAACAACATAAAGTAGTAACAGTGTGATACCTTGAAGTCGTTTTGAGGTGAAAAGGGAGTAACTTGAGGAGCTTTGAGTGAATCTAGCATCAGTGATAGCTGATCTAAATCTCTCAAACCAAGCACGGGGAGCCTGTTTGAGGCCATAAAGGGACTTCTTGAGGTGGCAAACAAGATGTGAATCATCACAATGGCCTGAAAGAGGTTTCATATAAACTATCTCCTTCAAATCTCCATGCAGAAAAGCATTTTTGCCATCCATCTGGTGAATAATCTCTTTTCATAGCAGAAATAGCAAGGAAGCGAATTGTGGTCATCTTGGCAACTGGAGCAAAAGTCTCCTCATAGTCAATTCCATACTCCTCCTTGAACCCCTGTGCACCCAATCTAGTCTTGTATCTGTCCATGCTACCATCAGACTTCAATTAACTAAATACACCCACTAACTTCCAATGAATGAAGCATCGAGAGGAGGAGAAAATAACTCCCAAGTGTCATTCTCTAGGAGAGCATCAATCTCATAATCCATGGCATCTAGTGTGTGTGAGAAATGGCTTGCTAGTAGGATCTGGGAATATGTATAGCAGACAACACAACAAGGAACTATGGTCTGAGGGAAAACCATATTGGTCAGGTGGTCTAGAAACTCTAGTAAAATAAGGTAGAAATGTTAGTAGATGGAGAAGTAGTGGTAACAAGAGAGGATGACATGCTTACAAGAGTTGGAGTAGATGAAGAACCATGCTCTGGGAGGGGCGAAGAGGTTGGAAACGTAGGAATTGGAGCAGCTATCTGCTTCTTGAAATAAGTTTGGTATAGATAGCAGACAAACCCTTTACGATCAGGATTATATCCCCAAAAAAACACATAAGATAGATTAAGCAAATTGCTTAGTATGCTGATGAGGAAGGTGTACAAAGCAAATGCACCCAAACACATGGAACATAGAAAAGTTAAGAGGTGTTTTAAAAAAGGACTAATGTGGGGACAGGTACCAAGAATTGATAATGGAAGAAGGTTGATAAGATATGTAGTGTTGACCACCTCCACCCGAAAAGTTACAGGAGCATGGGAATCTAGAAGAAGGGTTCTCACAACACTCAAAATGTGGTCATTCTTAAGCTCAACAACTCCATTTTGTTGAGGAATGCGAAGATGAGATCTTTGGGTTGTATTCCATGATGTTGTAAATAGGTAAGATGCATCAAATCACAGAATCTACACACTGTTCACTTTGTTATTGGCTTATTGCAACACATTCTTCTTTTTCTTTTAGCACTTCTTTATATTGTGTCATGTTTCCAGCTTCCCCAACATTTATCTTTTTTCTCTTTGGCCTAGGGTCTGCACCTAACTTCTCTCATTCGCTCCTTCAAAATCATTAATTCCTTAAGGAAGCAGTGCCAACCACTACCCTCCTCTCCCAACAGAGTGCACAAGGATTTAGAAGTTGCCTTTGGCAAAGAACTCAATCAGTCACAGGTACCTACCCTTAACATTTTGTCGGTGAAATACAAAAGTGACCTTAATCAGAGAACTTACTTCATGGTATAGCCAAAATGTCCCACAAAGCCTTTTCCGAGAAGGAACTGAACCAACTCATGGATTCTCTAGTGAGGTAAACAAAATCCCTACTAACCTCCAAAACTTTGAGCATCTCATTGCCAACCGATATAAGAAAGTGAAAGAAAACTTTCTTTGATTTAATAATCAAGTCCATGAAAAAGAGAAAAAACAAAGCAGAACAAAAGAGGCATAAGGAGAGGAAACAAGGAGTGGAAAGAACAAAAATAGAAGGGTGAGACAAAGGATGGTGGTCAGGAAGGTCAACTACTTTAGGTGAGGCAGAAACAGGGAAAGCGTAGAATAGAAAAGAATGGGGGACAAAGGAGGGAGGTCAAAGAACTTGGCTAGCAAGGTACCTCACCAATTATTCCATCTACTTGTGAAGGATTTCATAGACAAATGAATAGTTTTGTACTGGTAAACTTTCAAAATAATATTCTTTATGTATCCAACATTTCGTACTCCACAATCTTTCCACAGTTTTTGGTAAAAGCTTTCCTCAAATTCAGATATTGTCCTACACTTTATTGTCTGTCATTCCTCTTTAATTTATATTTTGGATTTGCTAGTTAAACTAGTAAAAATCATGAAGCCTTCATTTTCTTGTTTGGAAGGGGGGTTGGTGCCCAGACAAAGCAAATGATGATTGTCTAGGAATGAGATCAAACATAACACAAAAGATGAATTACCTGTTCTATGGACCATTTTCCTTGGAAAGTCTGGAAGTCTCCCTCAATCATATTAAATTCAATATCTCGTCTTTGACCACAAGGAAAATCCTCAAGATCCTTCTCAAAACATTCTACAATTCCTTTGGCATTAAATTTCAGCCCAAATGCTAGGTTCTGCTGTCCAACCTGTTGCAAGGGAAAAAGAACACCATACTCAAAGAAATCATAAGAGTACCAAAAAAAGCAGATACAAAAACAAATTAAACTATGTTTTCCACTTTCTATCCAAATGAACCCATAGTTGTCAAGGTGTTGCCCAGGCAACAAGGTGTCCATGGAAGGTTGCCTCACTTAAGTGCCTAGCTATTTCCTACATGGTGCTATAAAATATTATATGTAAATATAAATATCAATCAGGGGCCAATACTTGGTGTAATGGTAAAACCTTGGACTGGCAAGAATGAAAATGCAATCTGAGGGCACTAGGGTAGTCACTTTGTGTGAAAAAAAATAAAAATAAAAGCCAAAGTTTAGGACTGTACCCAGTTTACCTGTGCAAGACCACAGATAGTTGGAACCACATCGGATAAAGACCTTTTTATAATAATAAAATACACATTATTACACTAAATTGTTAATTGTATGGGTTTAAATACTAGTTTCTTTCTATTATTATTTTCTTATTTGTCAAAGTTCAATCAACACATAAGTTGTTTTCAAGGTTTAAAATGTCAATGTTGATGGAAATGTCAGAAATGCTAGAAGGAAATACTGTAAAATGTAGAGCCATTGTGGAAATATTCTAAAATATGTGGAAATATGCAATGATATTTGGTGAATTAATAAAAGAAGCATTAATACACCTTGCTTGACTATTACCTTATTCTAATGAGTAATTAGTTTAATCATTTTTTTATTTTTGATTTTTTAGGAATATTTTATTTCAAATATTAACTTCATATTATTTATTCATTTTTTATTGGATTTCATAATGAGTCTACAATATTACCATAGACCATCACGTACTGTAATAAGAATGCATTAAAGGTTCTATTTGTAAGTCTTCTATTATGGGGTCTATAATATTACAAAAAATCCTCGTGCATTGTGTAACATGTTTGTAGGTGTTTTAAATATTTGATTTAAAGGCTTGCTATTGTGATGGTCTATGGTCTTCCATTATTCCATAGACCATCACATATTGTAGCAAGGCTTTAAAGTTTAAATGTTAAACCAGTGTTTTAAAAGGCAAGGCGCAAGGGCCATTTGTGCAAGGCGAGGCGCGTGCCTTTTTGAGGCAAGGCACAAAATTAAAAAAAAAAAAATGCAAAAAAATCAAACAATTATAAAACATAATATCGATAAAAATATAAACTTAAGTTTTAAAATAAATGTTTTAAAAAACCTATTATCTAAAATTAAAATACATAAATATAATATGTAAAGCATATTCAAATGAGAATTTAAAAATGAAATCAAACATATAAAACATTTTCAAGCATATAAAACCCACAATCTCTTTTTTTTTCTCAATTGCATCAAGTAGCTAATGTGACATATTACATTCCTAATTCTACGAGCCACCTTTGTGCCACGCCCCTCGAGGCAAGCCCAAACAAGGCCATGTTAGGGTCTTAAATTCTTAGTTTTCACACAAAAAATAATAATTTTATAGTTTTAATTGCTTTTAAGAAGATATTTTATTAGGATGAATGAATGGACAACATTACCAAATAGAGGATTCTCGAAGCTTCAGTCCCAGCGGCCAGACTCAAAAAAATGGAAAAAGCGGCAAACTTTCAAAAGGCGTACACTTGGGCTAAGGCACAAGGCGCACCAGGTGCACGCCTAAGCGTACCAGGCGTGYGCCTTTTGAATGGGCTGCGCCTAGGCCCTGGGTGAGGCACCTACCCTAAAATGCGCCTCGCCTGTGCGCCTAGGCACAGCTTTTAAATCACTGTGTTAAACATAAACTTAAGGCTTAGATCATCATGTACTGTAGCAAGGATTTAAAGTTTAAAGTTTAAACATAAACATGAAGGCTTAAGGATTCATTGTTCATTCGAACCCTTAAATCCTGAAATCCCAATTACACAGTGTGAGCAGTGAGCAGCAAACCAGCAACCATTCAACGAAATGTTGCAACACCGACATTTCGATGGGTCTTGACACCGATATATGTGAAGCAACATTTCCAAAATGTCATAACATTTTAAGCCATGGTTGTTTTATGTTGTCTTGAACCTTTGAAGACTTCAAAACCTGAACTGATAATCAAGGAATAACTTAAAATTTTGTTCAATCTTTCTTTTTTTCTTTTCCTAGGACAAAAACAAGGGCTCAGCCCCTATATTTTCTGAATTTTCTTTTCATTTTTTCTTTTTCTTCTCATGAATATGTTGATTTCATATGATGGATCTTTATGTAATATGATTTCAAGCAATTTGGGGGATACAAAACGGGGGAATAGTTACCACTTTGGGGTGTATCTGTCACTATGAACTAGCATGCTTGACTGGAAGAGTCTCTTTGTCAAGCATTTGTTCAAGTACTTTTTTACAAAGATTATTAATAATTACTAGTGAAAGATGGTTGTTGGTTGCTATGGAATCTAGGGAATTAGACCAGGATTCAAGGTTTTATGTAGTTTTCTGAATGAGATACATTTTGAAGAGATGTAATGGCCAGTGTGTGTGTGTTTTCCTTTTGATAGGTAAAAAAGAAAATTTTATTGATGGAAAAGAAAAAGCTGGAAACAATCACTACAGGTGCTAAAATAGCACCACCCACCAAACACGCACTAACAGACTCTTTCCAACCAACAGAAAGAAAAACAGAGAAAATAAGCAAACACAACAAAACAACCTCTATTCTCAGCACCAGAGGCCACCATAGAGATTCTTTTAGGAACCAAATTCAGTGTTCAACATCAAGAAAAAGGGAACAATATCAGTAAGTCTAAAATTGATATTTAAAAACCAATTCAGAAGTCACCAAAAAGGGAGCTGTCTGCTGGAACCACACGTGTGTAATAATATATAGCATCACAGCAAATCATCTGACCCAAGTATTTTTTTTTATTTATTTTTATCAGCAACCACAAAGAAGAATTTTATTAATGATTAAAGGAAATAGATACAACAAGGAGTTGTGAACAACAAGCATGCCCAATACAAGGCAAGCCACCCAACCCATATTACAATTGTGCGCAATACATAAATTGTCTTTGAAGAACAAACACAGAGACTTGCCAACCTCCACTTCCCTCTCAACATTTTTTTTGAAGATAAAAATAAAAAATTATTAAAAGAAAAAAGAAGTACAAGAAAGTTGATAAGCAAAGAGAAAGGCAACCCAAGGAAAAGACCCAACAAACACGAACCCAATCTCTTGACAGCACAAGGACAAACCCTCCAAAAAATTTCCTCATAAAAACAACCCCTCCCAACAAAAACTACACATCCCCAGAAGCTATCCCAATTCAAAAACACCAAAAAACCTGCCCAACGTCCCTTATGAAACCCAACACAAATCCTATCCCCCCAAATCTCATTTCTTCTCTGTTTTTTGAATGTGGTCTTCTTGTCTCCTTCTGATTGGTCTTTTGGGTTTTAGACTAAATTGTTCAGCCCGACCCCAAACAATCCTCCTTTCATTCTCGTTAACACCTTAGAAACAGGGATCTGCTGTTGACTTCTTTGAATCTTCTGAGATTTAAATCTTCTAACTGTGCTTAAGGCACCCACAGATTCTTTTGGCTGAACTGAGATAGTCTGACCCTTGTCTGATCCCACCTCAAACTCTGCCTTTTCTTCCATTCCCTTAATAATTTCCCCACAACCTCCACCAAAGTTTTCCATCTCTTACTTGTCAGACTTACAGCTGTCTTCTGAAACATCTATTCTTTTGTTCTTCCCATTCTAATTCTCTGCTGTTCTGAATGATTCCCTCACAAACTCCTCACCACCCAAGAAGAAAAGGCCCAAAACTCCAGTAAACATGTTATTTGACAAATATAATTCTTAAAGCTCCAAGCACTAACTTGTTTTTCTTGGTCGGTGTTGTGTGTTTGAGTGAAGGTGTTGTTGTAGCACCCTAGTGGTTGTAATCAGTTTCTTTTTCTTTTTATAAATTTTTTCTTTTAATATTAAAATAAAATGTCAAACCTGTTACCTTCTTCCAACCACAACCCAAGGTAATTTTAAAGACCCTACCTAACCTACAACCAGGTATAGGCACTTATGTGGCTAGATATAGAAGTGCAGGAAAGGGAGTTCTTTTTTTTTTTTTTTTTTTGATCAGCAACGCAGAATTTATTTATTGATAAGATTAGAAAAACATATACATCTAGAAGTTGTGGGCAGAAGGATAAGCCCAAGAGAAGAAAAACCACTAATTACAACCCAGCCCAGAACATAGATTGTCTTTGAATCCCTTGTTTAGCTAGCCCATCAGCCATTGTTAGCTGATCTCCTAACCCATCTAACTTAGATCAACATGTCTTTAGATATCTGCTTGAAGTGCCTGAGTTCATTTCTCAGCTTCCACATTACTCCTTCCCCCTTTTTCAGCCAGTTTACAACAATCTTTGAATCCCCTTCAATAATCAGCCTGTTAATCCCCATTTCTTTGGCTTTTTCAACACCATACACTGCTGCCATTAGTTCTGATCTCACCACATCACCATGCTGAATAGGACCTGAGTATATGACTAAAATATTCCCATTCTCTTCCCTTATCACCCCACCAACACCCGATGGTCCAGGATTCCCCATACAGCTACCATCAAAGTTTAATTTCCTCCAACCAGCCACTGGAGGGGACMAGACCTCATTTGTTCTAGATTTTCTAGCAGTATTAGCGATTGTTCCCCAAAATCTGAAGGAAGTCTTCTGTCTTAAAGTCAGCAAACAACTTTAATGTTTTCACCCAATGTGCCACCCTTAGAGATACCACTCCGACCAAAGTTTCTTTGCTTCTTTCCTTGTCATCAAAAATCCTTAAATTTCTTTCTTCCCAAATTGTCCAAATCACTACTGCTCTAGTGCACCTTCCCATAATTCTTCCTCTTCTTTTAGGGCACCTGAATGTATGAGAATTAAATAATCCTTCCAGATTAACAGGAGGAATCCAGCTGCAACCAAACAGAGAGGAAAACCATTCCCAAATGTAGTTAGCAAAAGGACAGGAAATTAAAAGGTGGAAGGCAGTCTCACCGTGTAGCTTACATAAAGAACACCAGTTTGGGGACAAGCACCAATTTGGCCTTTTTTTTCTGAAGCAAATCACAATAATGGAGCCATGGAACATTTCCCAACAAAAGGCATTGACTTTAGGAGGGATGGCCTGACACCAAACCTCCTTGACAAGGAAAGAAGGGGAGGAGGAGGTAGCAACAAGGAAATTCAGAAATGATTTGCAAGAGGACCCTGACTGGTAGGGGTGAGCAAACGGTTTATTCGGTTAAAAACCAAACTGAATGAACCAAAATTTTTAAAACCGAAATTTTAAATGAAAAACCAAACCGAAACTGAAATATTAAAAAACCAAAATTTTTGGTTTGGTTTTCGGTTAAAACCAAATTTCAACACTATATACATTTTAATATATATTATATATTAAAAATATATATATATTATACAATGTGTATAATAAATTATATATTTTAATACATAACATAATACAATATAATATATTTTATACATATTATATATGTATTATATGTTAATATATATATATATATATATATAATAAAGTTCGGCTAATTCAGTTTTTTCTGTTAACCGAATTTCTAAACCTGAAAACCAAAACCGAAATTTTCAGTTCGGTTTTTCGGTTTTAACTGATTAATTCTCACCCCTACTGACTGGTTAAGAGCCTAAACTCTAGAGTCTGAACCACTGTCCCCCAAAACCATTGAACTTAGCAAATTAATCAAAGCATAGACATTAGAGATTTCAGATTTCAGGTTAGAAGATGAAGAGGATGAATTGATGAATTCATTGATAGGTTTTCCCTTGAGGCTGGAAAGAGCAAAGAGGGAAGGGAAAACCACATAAAGGGGGGAATCCCCAACCCAAATGTCCTCCCAAAACCTGATTTTCTGACCCGAAGCAAAATCATACCTTATGTTGGGAAGAAACAAGGGAAGAATATCATGAATTGCTTTCCATAGAGTAGCCAACGTAACTCTATGAAAACAGCCCCCCGCATCCCAACCATTGCTTGACAGCCCATGGATGCTTGAGGTAACTCTCCATAATTTCTCAGTTTCTTTAGGGAACATCCACAACCATTTACTTAATAAAGCCAAACTCTTCATCTTTACATTTCCAATCCCAGTGGAAGGAAGTTCTTAATAGAGAAAATTGACCCCATATCCTATGACCATCTTAAACCCAACCCCCTTAACCTCAATAAAGTGTATTTACCTAATTCACTTCTCTGGAACCCAACCACCACCACTACAGACATATCCTCTATTGAAGTACATTTCTAGGGAGAGCTACAAATGACCAAATTCCATTTGTCAAACACTCAAATTCAGCCTATTAACTGCTACAACCTTTGGTGAACTTACTAATGAAACTTCCCTGTTGAAAATACATTACTCAATTTGCACTGAACCAATTTAAAAGGTTTCATGAATTTTAGACCAACAAATAACCTTGCATATGATTTGAAGCAGTAACATGGAGAAAAATAAACTCTAGGATATGGCAAGAAAAATCTGCTGACCATCTGCAATCTCGAAATTAACAAACCTTGTAGAAATGTCCGCCAAGAATCATAAGTATTCCCAAAACCAGGTTGCGCTAGGAACTCAAAATAACTTCCAAGACCTCACAAGGTCGCATTAGGAACGCAAAGTCATAACCAAATTCCACTAAAGAGAGGAAACGGTACCTGGAAAAGTCGAGCAAAATTTTCCTTCTTTTCAAGCAATTGACTCACGGACAAGCCAGGAATAAAATCAGCCAGCCTCTCATAATCTGTTAATATGCCCCATACAGTTTCGAGGCTGGCATCAATGGCGATACAAGACTGTATTCTCCGCGAGTTCTTGCCAAGCTTCTCGATCTTGATATCAATACCATGGTCGGAGATGGATTCAGGTTCCGAATCAGACGACTCCAAATTTTCATATTCATCCTCGTCGTCGTCATTGTCGCCATTGATGCTATCGGAATTAGACGAATCTGCAAATGATTTCAATGCAGAGGGAAGTTTGGGTGATGAAGTTATGGTTTTAAGGCTTCTGAAGAAGCTAGGGTTTCTGCTTCTGATGAGAGAGAAGCTGCAGCAGGAGTGAGGAACTCCGAGGAGCAGAAGATGAGAATTCGGAGAGACCGTAAAGGCCTGCATTGCGTTCGTTTGGGAGTGTTTGTTTCTCGTCTCAAGCAAATTTGACTTTTTTACCCAAAAAAGAAAGCAAAGAAAGCAATTTTGACTTGAGCAGAGAAATGATGGAAAGCAAGTAAACAACGTCCGATGTGTTCGGCTTCAGTCCAGGCAGAGTCAGGGCAGCGTTCGCGCAATTGGAGGACACGCCACGCGTCTTCAATTCGTGTAAACGGTTGAAGCATGCGAGGATGATTCACGCCGTTAGTTAAGCAAAATCCATTTATCGATTACTCGTTTCTCTTTTCCCTCTCTCCCCCATTCACCCGGCGACGATTTAACATCCATTACCGCCGGCGACAAACAACCATCACCTGCGGACAGATCAACCTCAGGGAGAAATTGCTGCTGCTTGAAGCCTTGTTCCTTCAAAACAGCTCTCGCCATGGTCACCAGCTCTCTGTTACTAAGTCTGGTCTCGTGCTCCTTCAGCACCATCTGAACAGCGTTACTAAACGCCCCATACGTCTTGTCTCCGTCATCAATCGGATTCATGTCTGCAGATGTCTCGTTCGCCTGGCAGCCGCTGAGAAGGATGCATGCATCCGGGTGCAGAGACCCACCAGTCGAAGCTCAAACCAAATCAAAGAATGGCAACTTCGATGCACAGGAGCCCACTTCGYCCAAGGTTTCATGCATCGGCCAGATCAAGAACAGGAAGAAGATGTGCGGATCCAATTCTAAGCGTGTAGCTCCACCTCCCCAAGACTCCAGGCATGTATCGGTGTCGCCACCTCGAGACGCAAAAAAAGAAGCCATCTTCGCCACCTCGAGACGCAAAAAAAGAAGCCATCTTCGGCATCAAGAACAGGAAGAAGATGACAGGTAAGGGAACTATTGTTTTTGTTAACAAGAAGCCAGAAGTTGCAGACAGGGCACCTCTCTGGGCCAGATGAAGCGGTTTGCGATGGCCGCAATGCGTTCACCAATTTCGACTGGAGGGAGAATGAGTCGTTGGATTTGGATCCCGACGACGAGGGGATGGAAGAGAGTGATGGAGAAGATGAGGTTATCATCCCCCACTCTGCACCCATAATGATAGGTGGTGGAAAAGTGGCTTCGTAGCCAAATAAAGAAATTAATCTCTGGAAAAGAAGAACTATTGCTCCACCTGCACCCCTTCAACTCAGCAAAATGGGCAAACGAACTTAATTGGTCTGGTTCTTGGGTTTTTCTTTGTTTTCCTTATCAACAAGAACAACCATGGCGGTTAATTTCTTCTGGGATTTAGGAATATTACTAATTTCTTAGAAGAAATACCCATGTCCATGGCTCCATGGGTGCCCCTTGTTTGTCGCAGACGGAAGCGCAGACAAATGTGTCAAATTAAGAAGACGTCCATTAAGCAAAAACTCAGACGCCCTTTTTGAATGCTCGCTCAGACGATGCCTCTTGATTCCATGAGAAATTGCAGACTGGGCGCTCTTCTATTTTGCTACCTTGAAAACTCCGGCGTTGGTGTTTGACCGGCATGTACGGTGATGGTTGATCCGTCCGCCGCCGGTGATAGTTGGCCGTTGGGTGGATAAAGGAGAGAGAGGGAGAAGAGAACGAGTCACTCTGTGACACTCAAGGGAAAGGAGTATGGGTTTCGCAACTAACGGCGTGAAGCATCCTCGCATGCTTCAACCGTTTACACGAATTGGAGGACGCGCAGCGCATGTGCGAACGGTGCCCTGACTGAAGCCGAACTCACGTCCAGTTGGTCGAATTTGCTGCACGCGATAGAAGGAGTTTACATCTCCGCCCCACGGCACATCCCCGCCTTGTATTGAGAACATCTCCCAATACATTGGGACTGATACTATCATCGGGAGCACGGTGGTCTTCCGGTCTCCTTGCTTTGATCCCTATATCGTTTATATAGCACTCGACTTCCTTGTGTAATATGTCGTAGAAGACACTTGTCATGGCCCTTTGATATCTCGGTGTTTTTCAAGCCAAAAGGCATGATCTTGTAGTGGAAGTTCCCTATTGGTATCCTAAAGGGTGTGTGGGGTGCATCTGCAAGATCCATGAAAATTTGGTTGTACCTACTGTAAGCATTTAGGAAGGAGAATAGTTTGTTTCCTGTTGTCGAGTCTATTAGGACCTCCATGTTAGGTAGGAGAAACTCATCTTTGGGGCAGACTTTATTTGGGTATCTAAAATCAACACAACACCTGTGATAAGGTTAGGATTGGTTAGTTTTTGATGAAGTGTTAATGCTACATAATTAAGCTAGAAACACTAACCTAAGCTACCCATTATTCTTCTTCACTGGCACTATGTTGGCCAGCCACTGAGAGTGTGCTATGGGTTTGATGAACCCTACTTTCAGGAGCCGCACAACTTCTTCTTTATTCTTCAAAGCCACTTTTGGTTTAAAAATCCTTTGCGGCTGCTTTATTGGCCTGAACTTAGGATCTATGCACAATGAAACAAGGTCCAAGTCTAGGCCTGGCATCCGGTCATACGACTAGGCAAAGACGTTTTGAAATTCTGTGGAAGTACACACGGATTAGAATCTTTTAGCAGGTTTCAGCGTTTTGCGATAAAGAAAGGTCTTTACCTTTCAACAGTGCGATCAACTTTTCTTTATCTTCGGGTCCTAACCTGGTTGATATGTATAGCGGTTTCTTTCTGCTCCTTCTACCGCCAGGTTTATTTCCTCTAAGGGTTCTTCCACCGTGTTGATGGAATCTGTCATGCACTTGGGAGGTGTTTGAAGTTCATCACAATACTCTAGGGTGTCTTTTCTCAGCTCATCTCATTGTACACGCTACTCGATGTTCCTTTTGTGTGTTCTATTAGTTATAAGTCTAATTCAGTTCATTGTTGTACCTCTGATTCATGCTCGGGTTGTAATTTATTGTTCAATGATGAAATTACAGCAATATCGTTTTGCGGAAATGAACCGATGAAGTAGTGTTGATTGAAACATTACTTAGAGTTTTGTTATAGTGGAAAGTATGATTGCATTACTCACGTTGTTCGGAGATAATCTAACCGAAAAGAAAGAATTCACATGTATTTTTCTGTAAACAGTTCCACTAATGTTCTAAGATGATATAAAGTAAATCATAATTTAAATGCAAAAACCAATTCATACCTCTGGAATGGCCTTCTTACTTACCGATAGCTCGTTACCATCACAGTCTACGACAATGGTATAACAGCTCTTTCCATCGTCACCGGTTACCTGCACGCATCTGATTCTCTTTTTCTTTTTTGTGGCTACTGGAGGCTTGCTTTGTGTGAGGTCTGGTAGCTTTATCCCTTCTACGTTGGCTAATCTTATTTCCCCTTCTTCTGTAATTCCATGTAGTAGATTGCGTCTTGCAGATGGGTCTCTGATTTGTCGAAGGGGACTCTGGTAACTGGGATTCTGATCACACATCCCTTGTGTTTGGCTTTGATGCACTAGTGATATGTTGAGGGAACGAGAGCTAGACCATGTATCAGAGGTCATCCAGGAGGACGTGGTAAGCGGTCCTCCCCGAGATTACCTGAAATTCCTATGTGACGGAGAATGGACCGATCGCTACTTGCAGTTCAATGGATCCTTCTGTGACAGATGCATTTCCGCTGAAATCTGTTACCTCCATTGGTAGTCCCCTAACGGTCTCTTTCTGTATGTTCATCAATTTCAACATGTAGATGGAGATCAGATTAACAGAGCTTCCTAGATCGATCATTGACCTTCTCATTTCGAAGCCCCCCACTCTCGCTGAAATATATAGGGCCGGTTGTGATGGGGGTTAGCAGCTAACATGTCTTCCACTATAAACTCCACGCTGCCGCAATCAGGCCAATAGGGCTCTAATGGGTGCCTGAAAACTTATGCCAGCACTCTAATAGCCAGCTTACTTGTTGATGTGTTTGCCCCTATTTACTGAAGAACTGTTGCAGCTTCTATTTTTGGTCGAGTCTCTCTATCAAGGCATTAGACTGGTATTGGCTTGTTGCTCCCACCACATTGGCACTACCCCCTTGGGTATGGGTTAGGAGGGGATCAGTTTCCACTCATGCTGGGTCTCTTTTCGCGAACTCGTCCAACTTTACCTTTTGTACAAACAATCTCCTCAGGGAGAAGCAGTTCATCAGATCATGGTGCGGTGACTGATGATAGTTACACCACCTTCTGCCACGTTTGTCTTTCTCCGAGTCAACTCCTGCTGGTGGCAGTGGCAAATTAATCACCCTATCTTCAACTAATTTGTTCATTATCATGATTACCTCCTCTTTTGTGTATGGGAAGGGAGGAGGGATGGGCAAGTCATTCCTTTTTTGAGGAGCAGGATTGCGGTAGTAGGGCCCCTGTCTGGCTCCTTCGTTGTTCTGAGGCTTTCGATCAATTGCATATGCTTCGTTCCTTCCATATGGTGCAGGCTAGTGCGAGGTGTTTTTAACCGTGTGCGCTGTTCTTTTTGCACATCTCCATAATTGACTAAACGTCTCAACCTCTACGTTCTCGATGCCTATTCTATAAGCGGGTCGCATCCCTTACACGTATTGTTTGATGAAGCTCTTCTTTGTGGCATGCTCATCGAAAACGGAGTGAGTTAGTTTCTGGAACTTCATGAAATACACTAAGAGGTATTCTCCTGATCCTTGCTCTACATTTCTCAGATCAGCCATCGTCAGCTTCCTTTCTAGGGTGAACCATTTTGACAAGAATTTCTTGGCTAGTTCGCCCCATGAATCAATACTTCTAGCGGTGAGGCTCATGAACCAGGTATACGTCGGGCCTGTTAAAGACTTTGAAAACTCCCGTACCTTCAGATCCCCATCAATAGTGAAGGATCTTAGGTTGTCTTCAAACTTGCTCATGTGCTCCTATGGGCTGCCTTTCTAGCCATCATATTGCGGCCACTATTGCGGAGGAATGTACCCAACGGGGTAAGGCTTGTATAGGATTTCGTTAGAGTAAAGCTTCTGTAATACGGCAGAATCCTGTGCTCGGTTGCGGCTTTCCACCACTAGTCCTTAGACATACTCTCTCAGCTTGTTCTATCTGAGTGGAGTCTCGGTTACTAGATCCACTTGGGGAAAGGTCGGATGCTGGTTGATGTGGTTTTGTCCTGTCTGCATGGGCATGGGATTGGTTTTGTTGGGTTGTTCTGGGGCAACGAAGATTGATTTGGAAGAGTGACGGCTGGTAGGGACGCCAACGGGAATGGCAGCTGGGGTGAAGGGAGACTATTTGACTTGGGCTGATCATTGGAGGAAAATCTGAAGGGCGTTCCTTGTTTCTTCTTGCATCTGCTTGAGTTTTTCAAACCGAGCCTCGAAGCGGGCCTCGAACTCGTATACCTTGTCTGAGAGTATTTCGATGTCGACTTGATTGGTTGCCTCCATTTCAAATTGATTCTCCACCCCTAGGTTGGCATTCTCAAGGATGTTGTTGTACTCTTCAAAGATGGGTGTAAGGTTGATCCTACAGGTGGCCATTCTTTGTGATCAAAGACAGAAAGAGATTCTACTATAGGTAAGGTGGTGGCTAGACTAGGTAGATGGTCTCTTTGAAAGACTGAGAAAGACCGAGGGTCGGGGAGTCAATCCGGAGGCTAGGGCACAAAGGGAGAGTGATAGAATGGGAGATCAGTGATGAGGATACTCGATGATTGAATGAATTTCGTTATGAAAATGATCTCTATTTATGGGGAAGATCCCGAGATCCTAAAAAGAATGAACTAAGGCGTTTGTCTTCTACTAGGAAAATGAATATTGGATTTGCTATCAATCATTAAGGGCATTGTTGGGGTTTCGCCATGTGTCCCTATGGGGATCTGGCCGATGATTGACTTTCCCTTCACTCGGAGATCCTCATAGCTCACGTGTGCTACTACCCTTTTGCACCTTGCTTAGCTGACATGGCGCTAGTGACGTCATTGCCTGGTGGTCAGCGTTTTATTATACCTACATGGCGCCTTGTCA